AACCGACACTTCCCTCCTTCCTTTGCCTATCACTAGTAACCGCACTTCCTCCTCCATAACTGTTGTCTATCACTAGTAACCGACACTTTCCCTCCTCCATAACGTTGTCTATCACTTGTAACCGACACTTTCCTCCCTCCATAACTTTTGCCTATCACTAGTAACCGACACTTTTCTCCCTCCATAACTGTTGCCTATCACTAGTAACCGACACTTTCCTCCCTCCATAACATTTGTCTATCACTTGTAACAAACACTTTCTTCTCTCCATAACTGTTGTCTATCACTAGTAACCGACACTTTCCTCTCTCCATAACTTTGTCTATCACTTAAAACCAACCTTTCCTCCCTCCATAACCGTTGTCTATCACTTGTAACGACACTCTCCCCCTCCCTACTCTTGCCTATCACTAGTAACCGACACTTTCCTCCCTCCACCTTGTTGTCTGTCACTAGTAACCCGCACACTTCTCCTCCATAACTGTTGTCTATCACTAGTAACCGACACTTCCCTCCCTCCATAACTGTTGCCTATCACTAGTAACCGACACTTTCCTCCCCTCCATAACTGTTGCCTATCACTAGTAACCGACACTTTCCTCCTCCATAACTTTTGTCTACCACTTAAAACCAACACTTTCCTCCTCCATAACCGTTGTCTATCACTTGTAACCGACACTTTCCTCCCTCCATAACTGTTGCTTATCACTAGTAACCGACCTTTCCTCCTCCATAACTGTTGCCTATCACTAGTAACCGACACTTCCCTCCCTCCATAACTGTTGCCTATCACTAGTAACCGACACTTTCCTCCTCCATAACTGTTGTCTATCCCCTTAACCGACACTTTCTTCTCCATAACCGTTGTCTATCACTTGTAACCGACACTTTCCTCCCTCCATAACTGTTGCCTATCACTAGTAACCGACACTTTCCTCCCTCCATAACTGTTGCCTATCACTAGTAACCGACACTTTTCTCCCTCCATACCTGTTGCCCCTATCACTAGTAACCGACACTTCCCTCCCCTCCATACTTCTTGCCCTCTCACCTAGTAACCGACACTTTCCTCCTCCATAACTGTTGCCTATCACACTAGTAACCGACACCCCCTCCCCTCCCTGCTGTTACTATCACTGTTAACCGCTTCCCTCCATAACTGTTGCCTATCACTAGTAACCGACACTTTCCTCCTTCCATAATTTTTGTCTACCACTTAAAACCAACACTTTCCTCCCTCCATAACCGTTGTCTATCACTTGTAACCGACACTTTCCTCCCTCCATAACTGTTGCTTATCACTAGTAACTGACACTTTCCTCCCTCCATAACTGTTGCCTATCACTGGTAACCGACCTTCCCTCCCTCCATAACTGTTGCCCTATCACCTGGCTAACCGACACTTTCCTCCCTCCACCAACTGTTGTCTATCACTTGTAACCGACACTTTCTTCTCTCCATAACCGTTGTCTATCACTTGTAACCGACACTTTCCTCCCTCCATAACTGTTGCCTATCACTAGTAACCGACACTTTTCTCCCTCCATAACTGTTGCCTATCGCTAGTAACCGACACTTCCCTCCCTCCATAACTGTTGCTTATCACTAGTAACCGAAACTTTCCTCCCTCCATAACTTTTGTCTACCACTTAAAACCAACACTTTCCTCCCTCCATAACCGTTGTCTATCACTTGTAACCGACACTTTCCTCCCTCCACAACTGTTGCCTATCACTAGTAACCGACACTTTCCTCCCTCCATAACTGTTGCCTATCACTAGTAACCGACACTTCCCTCCTTCCATAACTGTTGCCTATCACTAGTAACCGACACTTCCCTCCCTCCATAACTGTTGTCTATCACTAGTAACCGACACTTCCCTCCCTCCATAACTGTTGTCTATCACTTGTAATAACACTTTCTCCCCTCCATAACCGTTGTCTATCGCATAACCGACTTACTTTCCTCCCTCCACAACTGAGTACTATCACTAGTAACCAGCACTTTCACTCCACCTCCATAACTGTTGCCTATCACTAATAACCGACACTTCCCTCCGTCCATAACTATTTGTCTATCACTAGTAACCGACACTTCCCTCCATAACCGTTGTCTATCACTAGGAACCGACACTTCCCCCCCTCCATAACTGTAGTCTATCACTAGTAACCGACACTTTCCTCCCTCCATAACTGTTGCCTATCACTAGTAACCGAAACTTTACCTCCCTCCATTATTGTTGCCTATCACTAGTAACCGACACTTCCCTCCCTCCATAACTTTTGTCTACCACTTAAAACCAACACTTCCCTCCCTCCATAACCGTTGTCTATCACTTGTAACCGACACTTTCTCTCCCTCCATAACATTGCTGCTTATCACTAGTAACCGACACTTCTCTCCCTCCATAACTGTTGCCTATCATTAACCATACTTCCTCCATAACTTCTTGCATCACTAGTAACCGACAATTTCTCTCCTCCATAACTTGTTGTCCATCACTGTAACCGACACTTTCTTCTCTCCATAACTGCTGTCATCACTGTATTGTATAGTAACCATCTTCTTACATATCTTATCTCAGTAAAACCACGACTGCTTCATTTCATTCTATAACACAAACACCTATATTTTTATCTTACTCACACTGCCCTACTTCCTTCCTCCATACACTTGCATATTTAGCTTCCATACTTAAATACCTGTGGATATGGTCATAACATTGCCACACATCTATGTCTATAAATATAATGGACATACATAATAATACATAATACTAATCCACATAATATACATACAACCGACACTTTCTCCTCCATAACTGTTGCTTATCACTAGTAACCGACACTTTTCTCCCTCCATAACTGTTGCTTATCACTAGTAACCGACACTTCTCCTCCATAACTGTTGCTTACTAGTAACCGACACTTTCCTCCTCCATAACTTTTGTCTATCACTTAAAACACACTTTCCTCCCTCCATAACCGTTGTTCATCACTTGTAACCGACACTTCTTCTCCCTCCACAACTGTTGCTTATCACTAGTAACCGACACTTTCCTCCCTCCATAACTGTTGCCTATCACTAGTAACCGACACTTTCCTCCCTCCATAACTGTTGCCTATCACTAGTGACTGACACTTCCCTCCCTCCATAACTGTTGCCTATCACTAGTAACCGACACTTCCCTCCCTCCATAACTGTTGTCTATCACTTATAACCGACACTTTCCTCCCTCCATAACTGTTGTCTATCACTTATAACCGACACTTTCCTCCCTCCATAACTGTTGCCTATCACTACTAAACGACACTTCCCTCCCTCCATAACTTTTTTCTATCACTTGTAACCGACACTTTCCTCCCTCAATAACTGTTTTCTATCACTTGTAACCGACACTTTCCTACCTCCATAACTGTTGCCTATCACTAGTAACCGACACTTTTCTCCCTCTATAACTGTCGTCTATCACGTGTAACCGACACTTCCCTCCCTCCACAACTGTTGTCTATCACTTGTAACCGACACTTTCCTCCCTCCATAACTGTTGTCTTTCACTACTAACCGACACTTTCCTCCCTCCATAACTGTTGTCTATCACTTGTAACCGACACTTTATTCCCTCCGTAACCGTTGTCTATCACTTGTAACCGACACTTCCCTCCCTCAATAACGGTTGCCTATAACTAGTAACTAGTAACCGACACTTCCCTCCCTCCATAACTGTTGCCTATCACTAGTAACCGACACTTTTCTCTCCCCGTCCTAGTAACCGACACTTTCCTCCCTCCATAACTGTTGCCTATCACTAGAAACCGACACTTTCCTCCCCCCATAACTGTTGTCTATCACTTGTAACCGACACTTTCCTCCCTCCATTACTCTTGCCTATCACTAGTAACCGACACTTCCCTCCCTCCAAAACTGTTGTCTATCACTTGTAACCGACACTTCCCTCCCTCCATAACTGTTGCCTTTCACTAGTAACCGACACTTTCCTCCCTCCATAACTGTTGTCTATCACTCGTAACCGATACTTTCCTCCCTCTAGTACTGATGTCTTAAAATATCAAACAAATTAGAGAATCAGTTAATTTTTCTCCACACTCCAGTTATTACAGCAACTATGTTTCTCCTTATTTAAACCTTTTATATAACATGCTCTAAATGTTTTTACGAGCCAAAACTTAGCCAAATGTGTGTGTGTGTGTAATCATTAGCTAATGTTACCCTCATACTGATGTGTCCAAAGTTAACTGGATGTTACCCTCATACTAGTTTGTCCACAATTAACTGGATGTTGCCTTCATACTGGTGTGTTCACAGTTAACTGGATGTTGTCTTCATACTGGTGTGTCCACAGTTAACTGGATGTTACTCTCAAACTACTGTGTCCACAGTTAACTGGATGTTACCCTCATACTGGTGTGCCCACAGTTAACTGGATGTTACCCTCTTACTGGTGTGTCCACAGTTAACTGGACGTTATCCTCACACTAGTGCGTCCGCAGTTGACTGGATGTTGCCTTCATTCTGGTGTGTCCACAGTTGACTGGATTTTTTTTCTGTTTTGGTGAATTTTGTTCAAGTTATTATCTCATTATAAGTTGTGTTATGTACTGAACCATACGCTTGTTCAAGTTTTTATCTCATTATAAGTTGTGTTATGTACTGAACCATACGCTTGTTCAAGTTATTATCTCATTATATATTGTGTTATGTACTGAACCATACGCTTGTTCAAGTTTTTATCTCATTATATGTTGTGTTGTGTACTGAACCATACGCTTGTTCAAGTTATTATCTCATTATATGTTGTGTTATGTACTGAACCATACGCTTGTTCAAGTTTTTATCTCATTATATGTTGTGTTGTGTACTGAACCATACGCTTGTTCAAGTTATTATCTCATTATATGTTGTGTTATGTACTGAACCATACACTTGCTCCCAATAAGCTGAATGTTTAATCAAACTAATGTTTTTGTCGTCCTGACAGAGTGCCTTCGACACAAACTGGCATAAGCTTCACTTCGGTGTGTTCCGAGATAGTGTGACGCTCTACCTTGACTGTGAAAATACGACGCAAGTACCACTTGACCCCTTTGGTCCCATAGACGTCAATGGTAATATCCATATTGCAAAGCTGCAAGATTCTTCTCGCACCGTTCCAGTAAGTTTAGAAGTCTTCTGCAACCTGTATGTGAGACAGATAACAGGTAAAGCCCATTTTATACTGTATTACACCACTGATGATGCTGACTTCATGTAAGTAACCACTTATTATTACAGAGATTACTTTAAAATGTAATCTATTGCAATATTCATTTAACGATATTTGTCAATAGAATTTTCATGAGCGTTTTTTTTCTGAACAGTAATTTTTTGTGCATTCTTAAAATATGCATTTTGATGTGTTTTTTTTATTTCAATCATTAATTTTTTCTTCTTCTGTTTTACTACTTAATTTATATGTTTTTTTAAGATTTTGTATATGGAGCATGTAACATTCAGCTCTTGTATTAATTTGCCAAACTTTGATTCTCTCAATATAACACAGTTAACAACACTAAACATTTCTCATATACTGGTATCTGTTGTTATCAACAGTAAACTTACGCTTCTCTCACATACTTGTATATCTGTTGTTATCAACAGTAAACTTACACTTATTTCATATACTTGTATATCTGTTGTTATCAACAGTAAACTTACACTGATTTCATATACTTGTATCTCTGTTGTTATCAACAGTAAACGTACGCTTCTCTCACATACTTGTATATCTGTTGTTATCAACAGTAAACTTACACTTATTTCATACATTTGTATATCTGTTGTTATCAACTGTAAACTTACACTAATTTCATATACTTGTATCTCTGTTGTTATCAACAGTAAACTTACACTTATTTCATATACTTGTATCTCTGTTGTTATCAACAGTAAACTTACACTTATTTCATATACTTGTATCTCTGTTGTTATCAACAGTAAACTTACACTTATTTCATATACTTGTATCTCTGTTGTTATCAACAGTAAACTTACACTAATTTCATACACTTGTATCTCTGTTGTTATCAACAGTAAACTTACACTAATTTCATATACTTGTATCTCTGTTGTTATCAACAGTAAACTTACACTAATTTCATATACTTGTATCTCTGTTGTTATCAACAGTAAACTTACACTAATTTCATATACTTGTATCTCTGTTGTTATCAACAGTAAACTTACACTTATTTCATATATTGTATCTCTGTTGTTATCAACAGTAAACTTACACTTATTTCATATCTCTGTTGTTATCAACAGTAAACTTACACTTATTTCATATACTTGTATCTCTGTTGTTATCAACTGTAAACTTATACTAATTTCATATACTTGTATGTCTGTTGTTATCAACAGTAAACTTACACTAATTTCATACACTTGTATCTCTGTTGTTATCAACTGTAAACTTACACTAATTTCATATACTTCTATCTCTGTTGTTATCAACAGTAAACTTACACTAATTTCATATACTTGTATCTCTGTTGTTATCAACAGTAAACTTACACTAATTTCATATACTTGTATCTCTGTTGTTATCAACAGTAAACTTACACTAATTTCATATACTTGTATCTCTGTTGTTATCAACAGTAAACTTACACTAATTTCATATACTTGTATCTCTGTTGTTATCAACAGTAAACTTACACTTATTTCATATACTTGTATCTATGTTGTTATCAACAGTAAACTTACACTTATTTCATATCCTTGTATCTCTGTTGTTATCAACAGTAAACTTACACTTATTTCATATACTTGTATCTATGTTGTTATCAACAGTAAACTTACACTAATTTCATATACTTGTATCTCTGTTGTTATCAACAGTAAACTTACACTAATTTCATATACTTGTATCTCTGTTGTTATCAACAGTAAACTTACACTTATTTCATATACTTGTATCTATGTTGTTATCAACAGTAAACTTACACTTATTTCATATCCTTGTATCTCTGTTGTTATCAACAGTAAACTTACACTTATTTCATATCCTTGTATGTCTGTTGTTATCAACAGTAAACTTACACTTATTTCATACACTTGTATCTCTGTTGTTATCAACAGTAAACTTACACTTATTTCATATACTTGTATCTCTGTTGTTATCAACAGTAAACTTACTTATTTCATATACTTGTATCTCTGTTGTTATCAACTGTAAACTTACACTAATTTCATATACTTGTATGTCTGTTGTTATCAACAGTAAACTTACACTAATTTCATATACTTGTATCTCTGTTGTTATCAACAGTAAACTTACACTTATTTCATATACTTGTATCTCTGTTGTTATCAACAGTAAACTTACACTTATTTCATATACTTGTATCTCTGTTGTTATCAACAGTAAACTTACACTTATTTCATATACTTGTATCTCTGTTGTTATCAACAGTAAACTTACACTAATTTCATATACTTGTATCTCTGTTGTTATCAACAGTAAACTTACACTTATTTCATATACTTGTATCTCTGTTGTTATCAACAGTAAACTTACACTTATTTCATATACTTGTATCTCTGTTGTTATCAACAGTAAACTTACACTAATTTCATATACTTGTATCTCTGTTGTTATCAACAGTAAACTTACACTTATTTCATATACTTGTATCTCTGTTGTTATCAACAGTAAACTTACACTTATTTCATATACTTGTATCTCTGTTGTTATCAACAGTAAACTTACACTTATTTCATATACTTGTATCTCTGTTGTTATCAACAGTAAACTTACACTTATTTCATATACTTGTACCCCTGCTGTAAACATACACCGGTGGTAGCATGTAGCGTGTAGACGTGCCGTACCTGGCTCTATAAAATAATATATTCGTCAGTGAATGACTCATAATATCACCATGGTTACCTTGGCGAAGAAACTACTCTTATTATTGGCGCCTACGTCGGAAATTGAGGGAAAATATCAACTTTATTAAATTGAATGAAACGCCTAACGGTTAAGTAACAGTTACCTTAGGTCACTAGTCAGTTGAAATAAGAGTGGAAGTAGAGAAATTAACCAGAGATACAGTGGTGACCGTGAGTTACCCACCATAGAAAACTGGGTAATTTAGTGAAAAAACACCAAGACAAACTCACAGAAATACCAGTATGTAAAATAAACAGGGAAATGGTGAATTAGAGAAAATTAGTAATCTGATAACAAGCTCATTACTGGTCACCGCGCTGCCACCAAGTCATCAAGTGGTGAATTTTTAGTGTACTACAATAATACTCACAGTGTTAGTTCGATCATGCAACATTATAGCGAAGCAGCAAAGTGTCCATTTCTAAGTGAATCTTGCAAACGGGGATACATATATGAAATTGACATGAAGATTCAAAATGAGTTAGTTATCAAATCTACCTGATTGTACATTCAAAATTCCAAGATGGTCGCCAAATGTGGAAGTCAGAATTTTCTTTTTGGCATAAAAATTATTGTGTTCATCAATTCAGGTGATTTCAGTGTTGATTTCCATGTTTTTGAGTATGCAAAATCTGAATTTTGTGTTGAAAACTCTGAAATGGATACCATTCAAAGGAAATATGCTTATAAAGAGTGAATTTCAATACACTACCAGGGCACACTGGCGACAAACACTGCTGTGAAACTCAGCATTGGGTTCAGTGTCAGCTAAGTACGAAACTCACAGTAAAGATTATATATATATATATATATATATATATATATATATATATATATATATATATATATATATATATATATATATATATATATATATATATATATATCTTGATAAAATCACACGGGAAAAGGGAAACAACATAGAACCTTAGCTTTCGTCTTTATTCAAGACATCTTCAGAGGCAACTGGATTACATGGACAGAGAGAGGCTTAAATATACAGGGTGACCTTATTAAACATGAGGTCAGGTCATAATGATGTTATCCACTAATCCCCACACCAACACCAACACACACGTAGAGGAGCTTAAGAGAAGGGGCGACGTGACTAGTCAGGTCAGGTCAAAAATAAGGGACCCACTAAATAACTATCCTACATCTAGATCAAAGGTTTTCAAAGCATTTTTAACCTTGGGCCACTGACAAATACATTTATGTAACATATTATCAGTTTTGAACTGACCATCACTAATGTTTATTGATTTTAATTCCCTAATCAAACTAGCTTCAACCAGAAGTCTTTATGTCACACAAGATGATTTGAATACTTCTAAGCTTTTTTCCCAAGCAATGGGATGATTATTATTCCCGTGTGATTTTATCGAGATTTATCTTATCCACGTTTTCATTGTAGATCTACATGAAATATGTGCCAGAGCCGGAGAGCCGAGCCAAGGATAATGGGGTTAAAGTTATTCGGATGGTGTACAGATCACACAAGACTTAAATGATACTGCATGAATGATCGGGATAAGTGGAGGGCAAACAATTGCTTGAACCTATTTGTATCCAATACAGGAAAGTACATCTGATACAGAGTGGTAAAAGGATAAACCCTCGGCTCTGTACCACAATGGCGATGAATATTGGTCCTAAAAGTAATCCTGAAAGGAAAACAAACTGGGCCAAGTGCTGTCTATGTCAAGATGATAAGAAGGAAAAATTAAAATCTTCAAAGACTAACCCTACTACAGCAAATTATCCAAGAATATTCCTCTTTTCAACTCAACCAATGCCCTTCCAATAAGGCTTGATATGGAAAGGCTAGATGATGGAAATGGTATTGCTGAGACATCGAGGAAAAATAAAGAAAAATATCATGAGAGCTGTAGAATTAGGTTTAACAACACATTGTCGCAAAGAGCCCCCAAAATAACAACTACCTCTGAAGTTGACAGTGATGAAGGTTGCAGAAGTAAGGTACCATGAAAGCCAAGAGACACAAAAACCACAACAGAATGCTTTTTGTGTGACAAGCCAGCACCAGAGAGTGCTCTCAGGCAAGCAATGACAATGAAACTCAATGACAGAATCAACGAATGTGCAAAGACACTCACTGACAAAAGAATCCTTGTTAAACTTAGTGCAGGAGATGTAGTGACACAAGAGATGAAATATCACCCAACTTGCTTAGCTGCACTGTACAATAGAGAAAGAGCTTA